CCGCTCTTCTAGGAATAAGGCATAGGCACGGACCCATGCAGAATAATCCCATGCTAGAAAGCAAAAAGGGGACAACGTAAGGGAAAAAAAAGGGGAAGTGATGACTGAAGGGATAATAAGCTCGTGTAGGAGATCCGATGAAAAACAAAAACAGATACCATTCGGGCTGGAATCATCTTTAAAGTGGGACATGTTAAGCATATGGCTCCTGCTTCTACTATAGTTCGTAACTTCTTCATGAAACGTCTGGTCTACTTCCCTCAATGCTCGGTGAATAACAATAAGAGTTTTCAGTGCAACCTGACCAGCCAATTGATTAAAAAGAAAAAAGAACGAGAAATCGGTGGTTATTACAAAGCTTAATATCATGAGACCTTCAATTCAGTCAAAGAGAAGATGGCCCAGCTGTAGCATATCTTGTTCATGAATCATTATTCACTAAACAGAATTCACATTCACTTGTACAGATTACTAGAAAATTGTCTTCAAACTATCACCACATTTCTAGCAAGTAACCAAAGAAAATGCAAAGTAGACAAAAGTCAAGACAGATACGAAAGTGAGATCATATGATACCGCCCAGTTATGTGTTCTCGATAATCGCCTTGACAGAGCATGGATGCAATATGCCACATCAGCACGAGGCCTAGTCGCTGAAATAGCCACGAAAATCGCTGCAAAAGAGACATTATCTCAACTTAATCCGTTTCATAACTTTCTCATCATACAGAACTGAACTCAAATGAACAAGACAAACCCACCTCTAATGTACTTCTCCTTTGAAGGCCGCTCGACATGATTAGTGGCTTTGACAATAGCAATATCCAGTTCCTGCAAAAACCGGAACAATCTCCATGATAATGAGAAAGATCAAAACCAATATTCATGTTCTGACATTCGAAGATTAACCACCATGGACGTACCTTGTAGCCGCTATTAACCTTCGCCAATGAAACCGTGGTGGTATCCTTGATAGCTCCCAGATATTTTCGTAAGCTGCTCTGTGATCCTCCACCCGACATGTTTTCCCCTTTGTCCAAACAAGAAGAGCCTGGATTGAATCGAAAAACATAAGATGCAATCGAAATTCTCATAAACCCTTGAGTTTCACAATAGATCATTCATGATCAAATCATATCTCATGTGAATTAAAACTGATATAGCTAAGGATGCTAAATTTGATCGAAATTCGAGGTTTTTCAGCCTCAAGTTCTTCTGAATCATAAAAACAAAAACCCTCGTTCACATAACAAGAAAAGATAGAATCTACTCATCCTCTCCAGAAATTCTAAATTCCTCATGAGTTTTTACTCATAAGTAATGGATCCAAATTCAGCTCAACAAATCAAAATTTCAAACCAAAAACAGCATCTTCTCTCTTCCTTTTTCATCGGTTTCCACAAACCCTAGATTCATTTCTCAGAGCAGAGATCATAAATCTCGTTTAGAAACCGATAGTTCTGAAAATGATCCAACCATAAACCCCAACTTAAACACCCTAACAAATATCGATCTAAACCAAACAAGAGATTCAAAAGAGAAGCCAAACCAGACCCAGAAACAGAGATCAAACAGGACGAAACAAATTCAACCGATTTCGAACCAGGAAAAAAGAAGAAGAATACAAACTTGATTAGGGTTTCTCGTGGTACAACAAAGAAAGGCGAAGAATCAACAGAACCCAGGGATACAGAGCTGTAGCCGACGAAAGATTCGACCACAGAATCAACCCCCTTTGTGATCAAAAGGGATTCCCAGTTTGAACAAAGGATTGCAAATATATATATATACACACACAGACGTATACACTTGTATGTATAGATTACAGGATCGACATAGAGATAGAAAGAGAAGGTACAGAGTCTCCCCTGTACGACGAAAGGGAACAAAATCAACGAAAAGGAGCTAAGAGCTAACGTGGTTTCGTTGGCTCGTCGGCGCCGGTGACTAATTTTCCTCCTCCCATTTATTTTTTATTATTAATTTATTTAATTTAAAAAAAAATAAAGTTATCGGAGTTGACGCAAAAACGAAAAGTATTTAATGGTCTCTGCGATATAATATGGTCAATCTTGGCAATGATATTGATGGCCAGTGGTATTTTTTGCTAATTAAATATTCAATTTATTTTTAAATTTAACATCCAATTATTAGATATCACATTCCATTCAAATATAAAAATCTAAATACTATATACTATTAATATAAAAAAAATTAATTAAATAAATGTAAAAAACGAAAACTTTTTAAAAAAAATTGAATCTTTATAACAGATGAAAGAAATTAAAATTCAATACAGAAAAATTTAAAAATGGAAACATCTACGAACAAATATAATCATCGTCCTCTAAAATATTTCCTTATATATATATGCATGCTAATTTTAGAGGAGTGCATATATGATATATCAAAATGGATACATTTGGATATTATTATGATAAATAGTATCAATAGGTTAGAAATTTGAAATTAATTTCTCTTGGGATTTAAATATGGATTACAAACGTGATTATAAGTTAGAAGGTTCTACTCTTTGTGTTCAAATTAAATATCGTTTTAGATTTTTGTTTCCGTCTTAAAATAAGTGTCGTTCTATAATTTCGTCACAAAAAAAAAATTATATAAAATGCGAAGTTTATCATTCCATTTAAAAATATTTCAGCTTTCAAAATTGAAAAGACAATTTTCTGAAATATGAAAATGTGAGGAATTCTTCCAAATATGCATATAAGCATTTGAAGTTACACCCGAACCCGAGTCCACTTGACCGAGGTGGGAAAAAATAACCGAATTTTGGATATTCGTTCCGATACGAGGGTTGGGCATTCGGATTAGTGATTAATAAGGGTGTGTGTTTCAGTTCGGTTCCGAAGAATCGAACCGTACCGAGTCAAAAATTCGGTATTTTTTCCGAACCATACTGTTCAAAATTTTCGAACGGTATAATTTTTATAGAATTGAATTTTCTGGAACCGAACTTTATAAAATTCTTGAAAAACAAAATTTTCTTAAGAAATGTTAACAAAAACCAGAACCGAACCATATCGAAATCGGAACCGGACCGAATAATAGTATTTATTTGATATAAATTTTAAAACCGAATAAACCGTTCTCGAACCGAACCGCTAAAATTCTGACCCGAATCCCAAAACGTCATCCCTAATGATTAAGGTGATCTCATCTATTGGGTCATCGTATATTGATTTAAGCATTAATCATATTTGCAACAAAAAAAAAATAGTTTTTTGTTATTTTGTTATTCTAGATGTTATATCACTACAAAAAAAACATTAAATTCCAACCGGCAGATCCGTTGGAAAGGGCCGAAAATCCGTTGGAATTCAACTTTTCCAACGGATTTCCAACGGATAAATCCGTTGGAATATCGTCGTTAGAAATCGGTGTCCGTTGGAATTCCGTGGCAAATTCCAAACGGAATTCCAACGCCCTCATCCGTTGGAATATTTCAACGGATTTCCAACGGTTTTTCCGTGGCATATTTGCAACGGAATTCCAACGGATTTGTTCGTCGGTATATATCAACGGAAATTCCAACGGACATCCGTGGCTATTTTCCGACGGGACCGTTAGAATATCCGTTAGAAATTTTCCAACGGATTTACAACGGTATTTGCCACGGATATCCGTTAGAATATCCGTTGGAAACGCCGTCGAAATGTTACAACGGTATTTACAACGGATGTCCGTTGGAATTTAGAATTATTTCCAACGGGGGTCCGTTGGAATTGCCGTTGGAAAACACAAAAAAATAAATAAAAAAATAAAATAAATATTTAAAAATAAAATAAATAAAAATATTTATTTTATTTTTAAATATTTATTTTATTTTTTTATTTATATTTATATATATTATATATTAATAAATATATATTAATATATGTAAATAAATATATATATATATATATAATAAAACCAAAATAATATTAAAATATTAAAAAAACAATTGTTCGAATATTACAAAAATATAAAATAGTTTCACTAATAATAATTAATTGGCATTACGGGTTTCTTCGTCTTCGCTAGTCCCGAGATTACGTGCCGTTGTTTCTGCTCCCGAGCTTGGCGGCGTATTGTGGAGTGGTCGATCACCCCGCATAAGCTCAACAATTTGTTCGAGGTTAGTCACTTGTTGCCTCGTCGCCGCAAGTTGTTGCTCGAGTGTCTCGATCCGTCGTTGTTGTTCGAGATCACTCTGCATGCCAGGAGGAATTGCTGCACCGAAATCATCGAACAAATCTCGCTGCAATCCTCCTAATCCATAGATGCGGCCCTTATTTGGAGAGACCGACTGAAAAATAAAAAAATATTTAAAATTGAAATAAAATATTAAAATATAATATTTAAAAATGAATTATTTTAAGTTTTACCTCCACATAACAACGATCTTGGTCCGATGCAGAGAGACCGGATGAAGAACCCGCTGAATCGCCAACATTTTGCGAGAGTTGGGTGAGTCGTTGAGTTACCGTGCTTACAACTCGTTCCGCACGGGGATCGACATATGTCCCATCAGACTTTTTGTGTGTCCGAGCGACCAACTCTACAATTGATGGCGTTCTCCCCATTTCTTTCTCCTATATATATATATATATATATAACCATATGCTCAATTGGTTTTGTCTAACCGCAGAAGCACATCTTCTGAAATGTGCTTCTGAAAACCCTACTCTCGTATTAAAAAATGTTTAAGAAAGATAACTGAAAATAATTAAAGATCATAAACACTTGTTTATTCTCGTATTACCAATTATGTTCTTGATTAGCTAGTGGTGAGCATTTCGGTATTCGAATCGGAAATGGTTCAGTTCGGTTCTTACGGTCTTACAAAAAAAAATATAAATCGTTTATTATATTATATTCGATTCTGTTTTATTTATGTTCCAATTTTTATTTAAAAAAAGAAAAAATCTCATATAACTACCTAACTCTTCCAGATACACCAAATAAGTATCTAAACAATTAATTTTGTCTAATTAGTATTTTAACTATTTGATTGTGTCAATTTAGTGCCTAAGCTCTTAAAAACATTGGCAATACACAATTTCGAGCCTAATTTTAATTTAGGGATTTTGATTTTGTACCGGTTTTGTCATTATAATGGTATTATTAACCGAAAATTTTTGTCTTTCCAATGTGAAAAAAATTGATGACGTGTCGTGCCACATTACAAGTCATGTAACATAAAACAATTATCATAAACGCCGTTAAAGGTGAAATTGAGAATTGTCATCACTTTTAGGAGTCGAGACATAGATGTGGCACAATCAAACAGTTGAACTAATAATTAGACAAATTAATTATCCATGTACTTATTTGGAAGAGTTGGATTACTTATATGAAATTTTTTCTTAAAAAATTTAGATCTTAAAAAAAATCAGTTTTTAGATTTTTTTTTTTTTAAATTCGGTTTGGTTCAGCTCGTTTCCGAAAAATTCGTTTTTTCTAAAATTAATATCATTCGGGAATTATGAATAGTTTTAAATCGAAAAAAAAATATTATATTTTCCGGTTCGGTATGGTTCGGTTCCTCGAAACCAAACGTCCACCCCTAATTAGCACTACGAAAAAAAAATGACAACCTAATTCACTGCCAAAGAAAAAGGAAACAAATTATATGAAACTTAACAACCGAATTCGTTATTGAAATGACTATTTTTTTATACGTTTCAATCAAAACTCGATGAACTGCTAGATTATTTAAAAAAAAATAGAACAGAAAACTATTTTTACCTCTCAAAACCAATAGAATAAAAGTCTCTCTATATTTAGTTAACCACCCAAATCATTAGACGTATAAATACGCATGTATTCCTCATCCCTCTTTCATCTCACAAGAGTTGGAAAATAAACAAGCAACAATTATGGCGACATACCCTAAGAAGAATGTTTTCCTGTCTTCTCTCATGTTTCTTCTATTAATCGGTTCCTCGTACGCAATAACAGCTCTGGACGGAAACGCGATCTGCGGCAAAACGCTAAACCCATCTTTCTGTCTGAAATTCATGAAGTCCAACCCGAAGATCTCAAGCGCCGATCTTCCGGCTGTCGCAAAGATCACCATTGATTCCGCGCAAGAAACCGCATCAAAGACCTTTAAGAAGATCCAGTCTATTGCCCAGAAAACGACTGATCCGAAATCAAAGGAAGCCTACTCATCGTGCTTGGACTATTATGGGTCGGTAGTCGGTAACTTCGATAAAGCAAAGAAGTATCTGGCAGCTGGGGATCCCGTGAGCGCGAACATCATGGTTTCGGCCGCAATGGATGGGCCGGACTCATGTATATACGAACTCAAGAACGTCAAAGCCGATCCTTCGGTTGTGAAGAACAGCGAGTATATCGTGAATGTTTGCGGAATCACTCTTGTTATCGTGAACATGTTACCGAGCCGTACGTAACATGTGAGACGACGATATTAATCTGATTTATATATATGTGTGTATATATATATATATAATGGATTTGTAATACTGATTCACGATCAGTTAAGAATATAGTGTGTTTCACTGTTGTTTTTTATTAAATAAACTCGCATTCGAATACTCATAAATCTCAAATCTCGAATATAAATCTTAAAATACGATAACCGAAAGTTTTAGATACAAATTTAAATACCTGATTTTTTCCATGTATCCATTCCATAGCCACCCTTACGAATAGTTAATATATACAAATTAACTCGGAAATTGTCATCATATAACAGTAAATGTATTTGATTATTGAATCACGATGCACCTTGACCCTTTTTTTAAATAAAAAAAAACCCTTAACAAATATTATGTTCTTATAAAATTCCCAAACATAATACGAAATTTTGGTGAATAAAAGATTATATATATATATATAAACATTTTTTATATACCCATAAATATCTCCTTTTAGTATTATTCCAACTATAGAAATCAATTACAACGACTCATGTATATAAAAAACTAATTACAAAAAACAAAACATTTTAAAAAAATACGAATTTAAGGCAAAAGCCTAAGATTAAGCCGCCTTAACCAAACGGAGTGAAGCATCATATGCATAACATCGTACGGCTTGGCCGGACGGTTCAACACAAAGTGTCTCTTCACTTCCATCACTCTCATATACATTCTCAAGTACCTCCTACTCGAAACCCTTTGTAAGATCGTCTTAATGTCTCGAATCTCCGAGACCGGGATCTGAATCGAGAACGAATCCCAATTAAGGACGTCTTGGAACGGTAGCGAGTAATTCTCGGATATGATCACGGGCACGCAGCCCGCGTATATCGCCTCGACTTCTCTCGGACTCGCCACTTCCCAACCGCTCGGGCAAAGACAAAACTTGCTTTGTTCCATCATCTTGGCGTAATCTTTGTCCGGAGGTAGACTCTCGTAGACTTGTATCTCGTCATCTTTGTTCTTCCAATGCTTGAACAGGATTTTTCGGATTTCTCCGTGGGTCCGTCCTGCGAAGAAGGCTAGAATAGGTCGGGATCTCGGTGATTGGCCGTGGAATGATGGACCTAACCTCCCTTTAGGGAGGTAAATCTCCGGGATGGATACATCTACGTTAGGTCGAAATCCTTCCGAGGTATTCGCGTTACATAATCCTCTTATGAATTTCTCGAACAATTTAGGGTTTCGATCTGAGATGTCCGGTGCCTATATCCAAAAAAACGAATGATATATGAGAAGTTAAAGTAAATGATGTAGAAAAATGTCTAATATGTTACAAAATGTGACCGAATTTTGATATGTAATGATATATATATATATATATATATATATATGTGTGTGTGTGTGTGATGATATAATGATATATATGTAATGTTACAACTTTGTAAAGATTAATCAAGAATCATATATGTATACTCTCTATAATTCTAGGTTCTAAAATTATATAAACTCTTCATAATTTAAATTTCAATTAGGTTAAAGGAAACTTACCCAGTCATGGCAGGAGACCATGAAATGATCCGCTCCTTGGCTCCTGTTCCAGTACGGATACTTAGAAGCGACGACGCCGATATAATCCTCCACGAGGCGATGGAGACGAGCACGAGAGAAGCCCTCGACCGAGGTGATAGGCTTGTAGACGAAGTGTATCACCTTCGAAACGCTGAAGGGCACGAAGAACACGTGGGCCTCCTCGGGATTACGGGCTCTGAAAGGGCTTATTCTCGGGCCCTCGGTCGAGAACTCGTCGATGAATTGGCCCTCGATCGCGTATATGTCGTTGACCGGGCCGTCGTGGAAGAGCGGGGGG